GGGAGAGGTGGACCCCGAGAAGCTGGCGCAAATGACGAAGCAGTTTTTCACTGCAGCAGGAACAGCAACTTCAGCTTTGAGTGCAATTAATGTGGTGACGGGGAACGCGCAGCTGCAGCAGCAGCAGCAGCAGCAGCAGCAGCAGCAGCGGATGATCGCAGCAAACTCCGCCCTTGCTGCTAAGATGGGCACTGCTGCTATGCGCTTCGTGCCCAGCGAGACCTACAGCCCAGAAGCAAAGCAGCTGCTGCTGCTGCAGCGCGAGCTGCTGCAGCAAATGTGCAGACCCAGGGACCCCCCAACCCCGCAGCAAGAACCAATTATTTGCGAAGACATCGACGAGTGTGCTGCTGCTGCTGCTGCAGGACGCTCGGCCTGCCCCCACAAGGACCTAATTTGTGTCAATACCCCAGGTGGGTGCAGCAGCAGCAGCAGCAGCAGCAGCGGCGGCGGTGGCGGCGGCAGATGCAGCGCAGGAGCAGTGACGGCTGCAGCAGATACAGCAGCAGTAGCAACAGCAGCAGCAGCAGTTAAAGCTGCAGCAGCAGCCACTGCGAGAGCGTGTTTTACCCCTCGTTTCGTGCATGCATTTTTGTTTTTCTCTTTTCTGTTTTTTCCCTTTTATGTTTATTTGAGTATCTCTCTTAAATCTGCCAGTATCTCTCCCAACGTGCTGCTGCTGCTGCTGCTGCTGCTGCTTCTGCTGCTGCTGCTGCGTGCTGCCCCAGTTCAACATTTCTGTGTTTCTTCTCTGTGCGCGTCACTCCACCTCTACCCCCACTTTTCACTAATATTCTAATTTAATATAAATAAAAACAATAATAATTATTAATTAATTAATCATTATTTTAATTATTTTTATTTAATTGTTTTGCTGCAGGCAGCTACGAGTGCCGCTGCCCCGAAGGCCTCCGCTGGGACGAGCAGAGGGGCAAATGCGAAGACGTGGACGAGTGCCTGTTGGCCCAAGAGGAATTTGCGCCGCAGCAGCAGCAGCAGCAGCAGCAGCAGCAGCAGCAGCGGGAGCAGCAGCGGCTGCTGCTGGTGGCCGCTGCCCGGCAGCAGCAAAACGGGCAGCTGGTGCCAGGCCGCGCAGCAATTTGCGACGGCAGCTGCACAAACTTGAAAGGTTCTTACAAATGCGGGTCAGCAGCAAAAAGAACTTTCCAATTTTGTTTCTTTTTGCATGCAGCAGCAATTCATTTCAAGGACTTTTCACATTTCTCTCTTCAGCACTTCGCATGCATTATTATTTATCAAAAAGGCAATGCATTTTGCTTCGTCTCCTTTTCACCCGCGTTTTCTCGTGTCTGTGCTGCCTGTGCTGCTGCTGCTGCTGCTGCTGCTGCTGCTGCTTGTCTTGCTGCTGCTGCTGTTGCTTGTCCCGCCGTTGCTGGCGCTGCTGCTGCTGGCCCTCCCGTTGCTGCTGCTGCTGCTGCTTGTTTTGCTGCTGCTGCTGCTGCTGCTGCTGTCCTGCTGCCGCTGCCGCTGCCGCCGCTGCTGCTGCTGCTGCTGCTGCAGGTGCCTGCCGGGGTTCGAGCTCGCTGAGGACGGGAGCTGCGTGGACGTGGACGAGTGCGCGTTGGGGCTGCATGCATGCGAACACTCCTGCGAGAACATTGTGGGGTCTTACCGCTGCGTGTGCAGTGTGGGGTGGGCAGCAGACCCGCAGCAGCCGTCGCGCTGCGTGGACGTCAACGAGTGCAGCAGCAGCAGCAGCAGCAGCTGCTCGCACTCCTGCGTCAACACCCTCGGCTCTTACCTTTGCCAGTGCCCCAAGGGCCTCGAGCTTGCTGCGGACCTCAGGACCTGCAGGCAGCCCAAGAGCTGCCTCGAGGACCCCACCATCTGCACTGGTCCGTCTGCTGCTGCTGCTGCTGCTGCTGCTGCTGCTCCTGCTGCTGCTGCTGGAGGTGCGGCCCCCGCTGCTTTCGGTGGCGTTGCTGCTGCGGCCGCGGCTGCTCCCGCTGCTGCGCCCGCGCGCCTCGGTCCCTGCGCCCCCACTCCCTGCTGCTGCTGCTGCTGCTGCTGCTGCTGCTGCTGCTGCTGCTGCGTGTGGGCACGCGCAGGCGACTACGTGTGCGCGCGGGACCCCCCCACGGGCCAGTGGGTCTGCCGCTGCCCCGAAGGCTTCGTACCCACGGGGGGCCCCTCGGGGGGCCCCTCCCAGGGGGCCCCCCAGTGCGAAGATGTGGACGAGTGCCTCCAGGGCTTTCCCCAGAGGGGCCTCAACCCCTGCCCGGACCCTCTGCGGTGGGTCTTTGCCTTTTGCTGCTGCTGCTGATGCTGCTGCTGCTGCGGCTTGTGCTGCTGCTGCTGCTGCTTCTGCTGCTTCCTTTTCTGCTGCGACTACTGCTACTGCTACTGCTACTGCTTCTGCTGCTGGTGCTGCTGCCGCTAATGATGCTGCTGCTGCTGCCTCTAATGCTGCTTCTGCTGCTGCTGCTGGTGGTAATGCTGCTGCTGCTGCTGCTGCTGCAGGCCTTGCTGCCTGAACATCACTGGAGGCTTTCAGTGCCTTGCTATGAGGCGCCGGGCCCTGCTGGACCCCCGCAGCCTTTCTTGCGAGGCCCCCAGCTTTGCCTTTAGCCCTTATAGAATTGCCTCTGCAACCGACCAGTGACCTAAACCCTAAACCCTAAACCCTAAACCCTAAACCCTGAAGCCTAAGACAAGAATATCGCCTGGGGAGCGGCAGACCCAGTGCACCTCCCAGTAGCCCCCTCGGGGGC